TGTCATATAATTTCGCACGATAAAGTGTTAGCCTTTTATTTACAAAAAAATAGAACTTTTGTTTATAAATAATAAACAATAATTTCATAAGTTGATAGAGCAATAATTTTATAAAAAAACGCAAACTGTGTATACGTTAACCACAATAGATCCTGTGCTTTTAAATTTGAACTATTCATATGCCAAATTATTTTTAACAGAAATGAGATGCCGCCTCTAAATTTTTATTTGAATTATATACCGGCATACTTTTAGCGCTTGTTTTATGGAATAAATTCATAGAATTGTAATCCATAGCAACAGTGAATTACAATAGTTTAGAAACAATGAAAAAAGACGTTATGAAACAAAAAATATGTAAAATTTTATAGAAAAAAATGTTGATAAATCATAAGTTGATAAATCAATACTTTTATTAAAAAATGCCAATTGCCCATGCAATAGATTATAATACAATACAATAGATCTCGTGATTTTAAATTTTGATTATTCACCTGACAAATTTTTTTAACAGGAACGAGGTTTCCTCTCTAAGTCTTTATTTGAACTGCTACGTACGTAATTTCACGTACCTAATACGACGTAATTTCAACGATGGTTTTATCAAAATTATGCATAGAATTGTTATCCATAACAGGAATTGGTATAGTTTAAAAACATTTAAGGAAGATGTGATTAAACAAAATGCATATACTATTTTCTCAAGAAGATATTATTTTTTTGAAAGCGTAACGAGCATTAGAATAAGAACTTATTGTAAGTAACAAGCAGTAATTTTATTAAAAAACACACCAATTCTATATACATTTCTTACAACAGATCTGGTGATTTTAAAATTTGATTATTCTCCTGCCAAATTGTTTTTAACATGAGCGAGGTTTCCCATCTATATCCTTATTTCAACTAGATCCCGACATACTTTCAACGCTGGTTTTATCAAAAATATGCGTAGGATTGAAATCCATAACAGCAGTGAACTGGCATATTTTAGAAGCATTGAAAGAAAACGCGGTTAAACAAGTAGAATATATTATTCTCCTAAGAAAATATTATTGTTTTGAAAGCGTATTAAAGATTTGAATAAGAACTGTAAAGTTTTCGTTTCTAAATGCAAATATTGAATAAATTTCAGACAAAATAAGTCTAAAACCATCGTCTTTCTGATGAATTGCTTTATACAAGCAGGCTATGGATAAAGTATATCGTCTAAGTATATACCTAGACGATATCTCTCTAAATCCTTTTTTTGAAATCATTTGTTATTTACGTAAGTAGGATGGTAACAATACTAAAAATAGATAAAGCAAATATTCTTTTGTATTTTACATATTTTTGTTGTGCTCTATGCATAAAATGTTACTCTCTATGCATTTATTCAATGATTATAGTTACCTTTAAAAAATTGTTTCGCTCTGAAAATCTTATGAGTGATGGTTATATATCTATTATATTTGCAAAATTCTTTAAAACAAATTAAGTAAATCGACGGATAAGATATAAGAGATTATTTAAATTATTATGACTTATTTTCATCATTCTTGTAACTCAGGTTCAGAGAAATGGTGATTTTGCGCACGGAAAGGAAAGGTTTTCTTAAAGTACTGTCCATCTTCACTGTGTTATAACTCTCAGAGAAAACCGATTTTTACACTATTGATTTATCAAAACTCAGTAATCCTCAAAATGCAATAGATCACGATCCAGTTGTCCTTTTTGTGAAAAATTGCACAAATTGTTCTCCTCCCTTAGTATATATTTCTTCAAGGTGCATATCTAAATTCTTTTTTATTCGAAATCTTTTATTATTTTCTATGTATTATGGTAAAAATAATGAAAATAGATAGCATTAATAATTTTTTGTAATTTCTGTTGCGTTGTACACATAAAATGAAGTTATTTACTCATTGATTTTTTTCACTTTTTAAAATTCCTTTCTTTCCAAAAATACTTTTTCAAATTAGTTGTACATCCACGAGATTTACAAAATCCTTTAAAATAAATTGAATAATTGATGCCTGCATAAGAGATTAGAGAGCTGTGAGCTCATTCAAATGATGATGACTTATTCTTTTCATCGCCCGTGTAATTTTTGAAACATCATTTTAGCAGATTTAAATAATTCTCGAGAATTTAACTCCTGTGAATATTCAACAAGCTTTAAGGATTGTAACATTAATATGCATAGAATTACAATCCGACAGTGGATTCAGGAAGAGTTTAAAAACATTGAAAATAAAGTCGCGGTTAAAATAAGTAGAATATATTATTATCCAAAAATGTATTCTTGAAATTGTAAGAGAAGATTTAAATAAGAACTGCAGAGGTTTCGTTCCTAAATGCAAATATTGAATAAATTTCAGACAAAAAAGAGTTTAAATCATTTGTCTTTCTGATGGATTGCTTTACAGAAGCGGTATAGATAAGATATATCTCTAAGGAGTTTTTGCTCTAAATCCCTTTCGTGAAATCGATTGTTGTTTACTAAGATTGGAAACAAAAATGCAAAAAAAAGTACAAATCTTCTTTTGTATTTCACATTTTTTGGTTGTATTGCATGCATAAAATGTAACAATTTATTCACTGATAAAGCCACCTTTTAAAATCCCTTCATTTTCTCCCGTGAATTCAAAGAGATTGAAAAAAAACTTACTTTTAAATATTTCACTTTTTAAAATAACTAAAATAAATTGACGAAAGAGATTAGCAAGGTTAAAGCTTATGCAAACCTTGATGACTTATTTTTTCATCGCCCGCCTAATTTTTGGAAGTATAATTTCAGCATGAACATCATTTTCGCATGAATTTTTCTCATGAATATCAACGATTATGAATATTCATCAAGCTACTATTTTTCGCTTTCAATGCGAATTTTTTTTAATGTGTATTTTTAATTACATAAATTAAAAAAAATTATCACTTAATGATGAAGTGTTTTCATTTTTAAGTAAATTTTTTAATTGATAGGCCTTTGGAAATCATGGTGTTTTAATTACGTCATTTTACTTTTTCAATTAGAAAGTATGGTAAACGAAAAGGGAAGAGCAATTACTATTTTTACTCTAGCAATTGCGACATGAATATGGCATACTCAAAATATTTTAAGAAATATATAAAATATATATATATATATTCTAAGATAAAAAACTAGTCTCAAATACATAATTCATAAGAATTACGAATTTATTAAAACTGATATCTATTTTCCTTTAATAAGTGGGCCATTATTTTATTAAACAAATAATCAACTTTTCCCATCGTTTAAATTTCTAGTTATTTTAAAATCTTTCTTAAAAGTAAAGAAATATAAAAGTTTTTATTATAGAAATAACCATTTTTTTTATATAATTCATTTTTTAACATATTTTCATAACCAATTTACCAGCATTTTTTCTTTTTTCGTTTTTCAGTGATATTTTAAGCAATTTTTTTGCAAAGCTAAGAAATTTCTTTATTTCTGTTTAATTAATTTAATTATTCCCTATTCAAATCCTATTTGAGTAAGTATAACTTAATGATATTATTAATGGAATAAAATTCATTTTGCGTTTTGATGGTATTTTTCATAGAACCTAAAAGAAATTTAAAAACATTCATTTGAATCCCAATTTAGAATAACATTACATTATATTTTTGTTACTCATTCCCATGGACTATCAGGGCTGAATCAGGTCCATTACTTTGTACACAATAAAGAAATCCAAAGCCACCAATATCTTACTGATATGGTCGAGAACTTTAAGAATATGGTCAGGTAGAGTCTGCCCAGAAGTACTATTTTCAAAGCTCTTAGTACCCTCAATGTCAAAGATTTAGATATCCACTCAGGAAGCGGTTGGTGTGATCCTGCCTGCTGGTATCAAATGTCCCAGAGCCACCTGGTTGCTTGCTCGATACCAGCAGAGTGCTAATGGAACAAGCCAGTTGGTTTATCTTGTGTTTGCTTTTGTAAAAAAGCAAAGTATGTGAGAGGTGAATAAGATGGAAATACTTCACCTGAACCTGTCTTAAGCATGTCGTCGGAAATCACATAGCATTGTTGGAAATTTCTCAGAAAAAAATGGTTAAATAACAATTTATTGAATGGTTATTTTACCATATTTAATCAAAACAGTCAAATAACCATAAATAAAATGGTAATCAAACTGTTTAGCTTCTTAGTTCAAACTCAAGTTTGAGAAAAACTGTTTATTAACTGCTTTCACCTAATACGGTTAAACAACCAGAATTTTATTGCTCGAACTGGAACCACGTAATGAAGCTACTTAGTTCTTTGCAACTGCGTACATATCATAGCCAAGTGGGCGTATTTGTCAAACTCATGACCGGCAGAACTGGAGTTCTAATCCTAGAGTTGACACCACAATATTTCCTCCATTCCCTTCAACACATGAAGAATTTCCAGTGTCAGGCACTCCCCAATGCCCATTACATAACGAAAGGCCGAGCTACTATGTCTAGTTAAATAATTATTATTACATTTTTAAGTTTTTGAATAATGATAGTAGTAGATGTTTAAAAAACCGTATAGTTTTGTATTCATGGTTTTAAGACCATACTTTTTGAAAATGGTTTCAAAACCATAAAGGAAAAAAAAATGTTCTTTGCCATAAACTTTACGGTTAATCGGTCTGACAGACAGCTACCAGTTATTTTACCATAATTTTAGAATGAAAATTTCAACAGTGTGCTTGCAATATTAATGTATGGAGGATTCACTTAAAACGGATTCGAAAAGGATTTTTTCTGATAATTCATTCAGATATTATCTCTCAGATTGTGCAAACTATCCAAATCTCGGATAGCACTTTTGCTATCTGAAAAGATTTAGATTTCATTTATTTGAGAGAAGGAAAAAATAATATTGGAATTATAAATAATCAACAAAAAAAATACAATTATAAAAAGGTTAACTGAATTTTTTACCTAAGCATAATGTAAATTTTGATAATTGAATTTTGCCACTATAACTATATTTGATAAAACAATAAAAGAAAAGTTACCTGGTGTAAGAAGTACAATGGCAGTGATGATGAGTGAGCAGACTGTGGCTATGACAAGTAAGGCAATTCCAATTCCTTTCCAATTTCGCTGATCTGGATCTTCTGATACTAAATCCTATAAAAAATAAGATAGAATTATTAAATATAATTTTAATCAACTATTAATCATGAGATAGATAATACTCTTATTCTATTATATATCATACATCACGAAATGCAAACAATGTTATGTATTTTAGGGAAACTGATAACTGGTGTTAAAACTAAGTCCGATATAAAAAGCTTAGAAAAATGTTGAAATGATAGAAAGAACAACGTTTTTCATGATAGAAGCCTTAAACTTGGTACACATATACCACATATTTGAAACTTCAATTTTTAATATGAGGTCACCTCAAACTTAGCTTATAATGGTAATGGCGAACACTCGAAATAGGGTCCTTTAAAAAATCATGTGAGTTGTTTTTAAATAGTTTTCGCTAATGTTGAATGATAAGTATTAAAGTAAAATTAATGCACGATATGTGCTTAAAATGTGCACCAAGTTGTATGTTTTTAATATTAGATGCACAATTATCTCACCTATCCACATTACTAAGACAATATGATACGCTCATATCATATTGTATTAGAAATGTGGATATCAAGATATCATAGTAATGTGGATATCAAAATAGGATATGCGCAGTCAGTTAACGCCATCAGAAGGTTTGTGACCCAGGCAGCTACCCAGGTTTAAATCACAGCGATGGCAGATCGATACGAACTCTTCTCCCAGTTCGCAACAACTGATGCTGGCATTAAACAGCTGATGCTGACATCGCAGATGCTAATATTAAACATCATCAGTAGTAGGTTAGAAATTCCTCAGTGTCGAGCTAACCATGGAATATTTTTGTGGTTTTTCTTTCCATGACACATTAAGATTGTTCAGATCCATCAAAATGTCATCCATGATAGCTAGTTAGTCCCAAAGTTCGATCAAGGAGTTTCCTTGTCTTCTGGATTGGGCTTGAAATTACAAGAGTTTGGAGATGAACTTTAACAGCCTTAAAGCCAAAAATGGGTCATCTGTTTCAAGGCTAGATGTAAAAAAAAAACAAATGGTACCGGTAAAAAACAATGGTAAATGAAAGATTGACGAAGCATTCATTCTGAAGAGTTAAACAAAAGAACATATGTGTTTTAGCTTCAAATAAAGTACGAAAATAGCTTAGCGTATTTGTAAAACAATAGTGATTTTCAATTTCAATTTAATAATATTTTACAATATACAATTCATAAAAAATGTGTCATTGTTACTTCTACAGGGAGATTACTTGTTTCTATAATTGCGTATCACAGTAAATAAATAAAATAAAGCAATTCATGTGATGAAACTTCTGATGTTACAAATATAAAACTTAAAGTAAAAAAAAATACAATCTTTAAAGATTTTTTATTCATTTATTCAATTTTGAAACAGTGAACAGATTAAAAAATGCAATTCAAAACATGTTTATTTAACTGAAAAATAAAGTTTGTATAAAAAGAGCACTTTAAACACCAGCACGAAAGTCGAGAAATATAATAAATTGTGACTTTCTAAGGAATAAAAAATGGTCCAGTGTTGTAGGGTGTTTTGAATAAACTTTTGAATCTTTTATATTTGTTTACTGTTCATATTCTTAAAAGGTATATTTACAAGTCGTTTTAGCGTTGCTGGAACGATGCATTTAATATATAAAGGTGTATTTATTATATTACTCTATTCAACACAATGTACATCAAAAGATGTTTGTAAAATTAAAATGATAAGTGCTTGCGTTTCAAAGAAATACTTTTTAAACATGATTTTTTGTGAAAAAGTAAATGAATAAAAATAAATCTGGATGAGTATAAAATTTTATGTTCATTTATCATCATTCACTTTTTTGTTATTTGCACTTGTTTCTTTCCTTTCTTATGAATGAAACTTAATTTCGGTTAAAGTGTCAATTATGTTTATTATTTATAAGATAAGTGATTTTAACAACAATGTATAGTTAAATGTTAGAAATTATTTGCATAACTAGGCTTTGTTATTTTATGTTAACGCGGGAATTTAATTATACAATAGTTGAAGTAAACAAAATAATATCCATTTTATTATTTTTTTTTCTTTTGTAAAAGTTAAGTATACAACAATTTTTTTCTACTTTGTAGCTGCATTTTAATACATTATAATATCTAATTATTAATACAATCTAATATCTAATTATTAATACGTTTTTATTGCTTAAATTTAAATTCTTTATTTTTTTTTAAATTAAAAAACAAGATTGGCAATTGTGATGCCAATATGACGCTTTTTTATTATACTTAATAACTCAAAATTTTATTCCGCCTTTTAATGTATTTTTAGCATTTCAGATCATCAAAAAATTACCATATATGGTGCATAAACCTTTATTTTAAAAACAAGCATGATTATTTTCTACAACAACAAATGTTGCTAAAATTAACTGTGCTATAATCTTATCTATTAATCTTAATGTACCTGCTTTATAACCAAGCATATCAAACAGTTTTTGACTATATTAAAATTATGTTTAATCATACAATCGCTATTATTATTATCATGCAATTATTATTATTCATTGATAAATTTCTATATCTCTTTTAAATCTGGATTAGTATGATTTATTGATAAATTTCTATATTTCTTAAATCTTAATTATTAAAATTTGTTATGAATTTCTATGTTTCTTAAATCTTAATTATCATGATTTATTAATAAGTTTCTATGTGTTTTAATTTTTGATTATTATAATTTAGTGATAAATTTCCATATCTCTTAAATCTTGATTATTCTGAAACATTGATATATTTTTTGTCTCTTGAATCTTGATTATTATGATTTATTGATAAATTTCTATATCTCTGAAACCTTATTTAGAATTTCATTTCTTTACTTTTTCATTTTATATAAACAATTAAGGTTGTTACAACATTTTTCATTATTTTACTTGTCATCATTTATTTTGAAACGTTTATACTTTATCTTAGTCAAGTCTTAAAATTAAGGAATCATGTAGTTTATTTCGGAAATAAAAAATAATAGCTTCGATCTATAAAATAAAATGATAGTTAGTCTCTATGATAGATTCCCCTTACAATACAACGTAACACAAAGTTTTTTCTCTATAATACAGTATACTACGAAGTCTATCTCTATGGTAAATGCTTTCAGATAAAGATTATTTCTATAAAATTGTATTAGTATAATAAAATCATTTCAATTATAAGAAAAAAAGTGTAATAAGTTGTCCATGACATTACTCATCTGAAAGTGATAAATCTTCGTTATTATATCCTTTCTATAATATGGAAAAAATAGTTACTCTTCTATATATAAATATAAATGCTTTCTATATTAGGTATTGTTTATTCTTATCTCGACCCACCCTATTCAAGGGAACACGAGAGTAGAACATGCATTCTACAGACAAAACATACATTAAACATACATAAAACACATAGAATTACAACAAGAATAAATGGCTTATACAGAGAATAGAAAATGAAGCTGAAAACGTCAAAAAATTTTAAGGTAAGAATAAAAAAATTTTGTAACTGGAAAGCATTCTAACTCTTAAGAAAAACAAAAGAAAAATTTAGAAAATAAAAGAAAAATTCTAGACTATAATAGAGAATAATTTTTATTATTTTCTTTTTTTTTTTTTTTGAAAAATAAAAAAATAAATTTTTTTTTTTTTTAAATATAATTTTTAGAAAAGGAAATTTATCAAAAGACTAAAACTGAATCTAAAACAAGAAAGTCTATTAGTTTAAAAAAAAGATAAGAAGAAATATTTTACTAAGATAGATAATTATTATTTATTTATTTTTCTTTTTTTAAAGAAAGGGTAAGAAAAAAAAAGTTTTTTTCTGAAAAAGGAGGAAGTGTCAAAAGAAAAGAGAGAAGAAAATGGAAAAAAAGTAGAAAGAAAATTAAAGAAAAAAAGGAAATTAAATTTAAAATTATTATTATTATTGCTTTATTTTTTTGTAGGAAATTTTGAAAAAGAATGTTTAAATACATAAATAAAGAACAGGCGAACCTATGGAACGAATTGCTAAATTCGATGCTGAGCAAAATATTTTAGATAGAAGTTTTTAGTGGAGACATCAGAATAGAATTAAACAAATGGTTTGACCTGGGAAAGGAAAGTGTTAAAAACTTTTTTTCTTCTTTTAAATAGGAATTTGCAGAATCAATTATGATCTGGGAAGATTAAATCTAAGTTCTTTTAGTCTAAGTAGATATGTTGGGCAAAAAGCGTAGGATGCTTTGTGGTTGGTGCTGAGATTAGCCTCTGGGTGATCTTGATTGTAGCATAGGCAGTTTACACATTGTATTTGATTTGAATGACAATGGGAGTTTCTATATTAGGTATATATCATTAAATGGAAACGTAAAAATATTCCTAATTTTAAAAGTTTAAATCCTTTATAATATTTTTTTAATTTTAACAAAATTTCCCAAATTTCTCTTCTACTGTTTTAAAAATAGAAGAAAATTGATATGTGCTTTGACTTTTTAACTTTCTTTAAAATTATTAATTTAGAAATAGTTTCAAATAGAAATATAGCTAAATATTAAGGAATGCATTTCTAATTATAAAGTGCTTTGAATAATTTATCCATGAGCATTAAAACTTGAAAGATGCTATGCCACATACAGTGGTTAAAGAATTGGAAATATTGATTACACCTGCGTAAGTTTAGGTTATAGTGGTACAAACTTTGCTACTTATAATTAGATTTATATACATTTAAAAATAACTTTTCTACGATTTATCCCTTAATACAACTTTTCAATGACGAAGTGAAATTATTAAACAATAGCTACATTCACTAATTGAATTAAAAGCCTTATGGAGCTGCTTACCGTTACTTTAATTTCTTTGTTAAAGGTTTTATTTTAATTATTTCTCTTATTTTTAAATTTTGTTTTATAACGTTAATTTTTGCTATTATTATAAAGTTTATCATTTTTTTTTAAAAATTACTTAATGTCAATTATTTTTTCTTAATAAATTTAAAGTATACACATCAGAATTATTCGCTAACCATTAACAATTTTCTAACCAT